CTGTTTCCGGAAATGGACCCGCCACGTCGATTGCAATTCTCTCAAATGGGCTGCCCACATTGTACTGTCGCATTGGGGCTTTTGGGCGCTTCTGGGGTCCATTGCTTGCCGCGCAAACGGCGCACTTCTTGCACCATTCCTTCACATCTCGTTGGCTGTTGACCCAATAAAACCGTTCCCTAAGTCTTCCGAGCGTCCTGGTCACCCCAAGATGTCCTCCAGTAGTTCCATCATGGATTTCCTGCAGCACTTCTGGTATCCTATTTCTGGGGATTATTATCTGCTTCCGGTCTTCCCCCCCTTCTGGCATCTCCAGAACGCGCTTTAGAAGCCCGTCACTTAAGATGATGGAATTCCATTGGGCCCAGTACGATTTCACATTGGGCGACTTCCTGCTACGTTGGTTTACGGTCGTTCTTCTTCCAATCGATGATAAGCTTCAAATCCGGGTCCCTTTCCTGGTCTTGTTGAACCTCAGCGGATTGCCAATGATCATCCACGATTGTAGTCCTGCGAACAAACACATCCTTTTCTTCGGCCTTGAGACAATGTTTACAGTCTTCCGGGCACGGTCTTCTTGACAAGGCGTCAGCATTTCTATGGATGGTCCCAGCCCGATGTTCTGTGTCAAAGTCGAACTCCTGTAGTCTCTCAATCCATCTTGCTACCTGTCCTTCAGGATTCTTGAATTGCAAAAGCCATTTTAGGGCAGCATGATCCGTTCTTAGCAAGAATTTTCTTCCATACAGATACTTGTAAAAGTGTTCGACTGATTTTACCACTGCCAACAGCTCGCGTCGAGTAACACAGTAATTTCGCTCTGGTTTCGATAGAGTTTTACTAAAGTATCCAATAACTTTCTCTTTTCCATCTTGAATCTGCGACAAAACAGCTCCCAGGCCCACATTACTGGCATCCGTGTCCAAAATAAATTCACCATCCGGAAGAGGATAACTTAGGACTGGTGAGCTGGTCAACGCGTTTTTCAGGTTCTTAAAGGCTTCCTGGCATTCGTCGTCCCATTGGAATCGTCTTTCTCCCTCTGTTAAACGTGTCAAAGGCTTAGCAACCTTTGTGAATCCTGGTACGTACCGACGGTAGTAGGTGCATAATCCAAGAAAGCTTCTAAGTCATGTTTGTTCTTCGGTATTGGCCATTCCCGCACCGTCTTCACCTTCTGTTTGTCCACTGCCACTCCTTGACTCGAAACAACATGGCCCAAATACTGCACTTCCCTCTGGAACAAGTGACATTTCTTCGGGCTTAGCTTCAGGCCGGAACTTCTTAAGCGCTGAAAGACTTCCTTCAGGTTCTTCATATGGTCCTCAAATGATTTCCCAACCACAATGATGTCGTCAAGGTACACCAAGCATGTCTTCCAGGATAGTCCCTTCAAAACCATTTCCATGAGCCTTTCAAAAGTTGCAGGGGCATTACATAGTCCAAACGGCATGACAGTAAACTGCCACAGTCCAGCACCCACGGTAAACGCCGTCTTTTCTCTATCTTCCGGTGCCATTTTAACCTGCCAGTAACCGCTTTTCAAATCCAAAGTCAAAAATATTTGGGATCCAGCCAATGTATCCAGGGTGTCATCTATCCTAGGCAGAGGGTAGCTGTCCTTCTTCGTCACGTTGTTCAGCTGACGAAAATCGACGCAAAATCGAGTTGATCCATCCTTTTTCTTAACTAACACCACTGGGGAAGACCATGGGCTGTTGGATGGTTCGATCACCCCTTCCTTCTCCATTTCTTGCACAATTTTATCAGCTTCCTCTCGCTTGGCAAGTGGTAGCCTTCTTGCCGACTGTCGAATGGGCTGTGCATCACCGGTGTTAATTTTATGCTGGACAATTCTTGTCCTACCCTTCTTTCCTTGTTCGTCGTCAAAGATATCCTGATAATTGTGAATCAGCTCTTTCAGCTTTATCCTTTCATTGGGTTTCATATTCTTTGAAGAAATCGACAGAAGATTCGTCAATTCATTGCTAACTTTCTTGGCCGGAACTGCAGACTCACGAATGCCTCTAATAATCGGGGAAACTGAAGAACAGTTTCCCAAAACGATTCCTTTCTTCAAGTTCACAGAGTAACCATTAACATTCAATACTCTTACAGGCACTTCTTTTCCCACGCGTATTAAAGTCTTCCCTACTACAATTCCTCGACCGACCTCTTTGTCATCAATTCTCGGCTTCAGAAGCATTATACTTCCATCTTCCGATTTACAATCCAAGAAAGCCTTCAATATCATCTCGCTGTGTTCCGGTATCAAAGCATCTTCTGTTAGCATTACACGAATATTCTTCTCTTTAGATCGATGCAACAAGACTTCCTCTCCATTTACCCTCAATATTCCTTGCTTAAAGTCCAGTTCAAATCCTATAGAGTTCATAATGTCCATGCCTACAATAACTTCATCTTCAATATCTGCAACTAATGCTCGATGTTTAAATTTCGTATTTCCTATGACCATCGTGATGCCCACTTCTCCACGAACAGTAGCGGTTTCTCCTGTTGCAGTACGTAGTCGCCGATTGGTAGGTTTGATATTGGACATTTCGACAATATCTGGCCTAATAATTGTCTTCGTCGCACCTGTATCCAGCAGCAGCACATGTAATTTTCCATTAATTAAACCATCAACAAAAACACTGCTGGACTGGTGTAGAAGAGATGCAACACGTTCGATATCCTCTGGGGCATGCTGGTTACAGGTCGACGGTAGCCCCTTTTCCTCGACCCTATCTAGTTTTCCGACTGAGATGAAGTCGGCGCCTCCTGGCTTTTTCTGCAACGACTTCGTATATGTCCGAGCTTTCCACATCTCCAACACCGGATTTCCTTCTTTTCTGGTAGATTCTCTTTAAGAACTCGCCTGATTTCTTCGATTATACTGGGTTCCTCCTCTTTTTTTCCTCGACTCTCCTAATTCTATGCTGGCTCCTGCAGCTCTGCTTTGCCGCCTCGAATTCCAAAGCTCGGGCCAATGCATCAACCAGTTGGCTCGGACGAGCCAACGTCAGAGCCTGTCTTGTTTCGTTGTCCCGAAGTCCATCCAAAAACGCTTGAACCGCTAATCGTTCCATAACGGTCGTTGGAGTAGCTGGATATGCTAGCCGAACCAAGCGTGCAATGTCAGCCTCGAATTCTTGTAGAGTCTCGTTCGATTTCTGGCAGCGATTCTTCAGTTGGGAATGGTAGACATGTTCCAGATGTGTCTGGCCATATCGCAGTTCCAGGTGTTTCACTAAGGCTTCGTAATCCTCTTGTTCGTTTGGAGAAAGTGTCTGCAAGATGTCCGTTGCATCTCCGCGTAAAGCAAGAGTTAATGCTGTAGCCTTCTCCTCTGGTAGCCAGCCATTTGCTTTTGCTGCTGCCTCGAACTGACGGATGTAGTTGGTCCAAGAAGTTTTTCCATCGAACTGAGGTGGTTTCATCCTAACTCGGCTCCCCTCCGGCACTGCTCCTTGTTCCGCCAGCATTATAGGTAAATTAACAGCTGTTAATTTACTATTTATTTCTTTTATTTTGAGTTCCAATTTCTCGTTCAATTTTTCCTCTCTCGAATCCAATTCCTTCCTTACGTCATCAAATTTCTGTCCCATTTTCTCTTCTAATTCAGTGACATTATCTAGAATCTTCTGCTCCAAATATTCTTTTAAATTTTTAGAATTTTCCAGAATTTTCTGCTGCAGTTCGCTAGAATTTTCCAGCATTTTCTGTTGTAAATTGCTAGAATTTTCCAGCATTTTCTGTTGCAAATCGTCCTTTAAATCGTTAACATTTTCTAACATTTTCTTTTGTAAGTCGTTGGAATTTTCCAGAATCTTTTGTTTTAAATCGACTTTTAAATCGTTAGAATTTTCTAGCAATTTCTTTTGTAAATCGTCCTTTAAATTGTTAGAATTTTCTAACATTTTTTCGTTTAAATTTTGCAACATTAAATGCATATCACACGGGCCTTCAAATAAATACGTATCTGGATTTTCACCTTCCTGCTCCAACGCTTCTAGAAGCCGCTGCTGCAACACATTCTTTTTTCCAGTTGTTTCACATTCCCTTTCTTCTAGCTCCCGCTTAAGGTCCGCCACTCTTAAGTCCATTAACGAAACCATTTTTACGAAAATTCACACTAACCGCACTCCTGACACCAATTGTAACGTTTTTAACTATTCGTAGTGTGAATTAAAACACGCACTGGTTAATTAACGAACTAAACTATTTATTTAATAACTTAACTACACTTAAAACACTATAAAACTAACTAAACACTTAATATTTATATATCACTACTGTTCAAGAGTCTATTTATTTGCACTTATATTTATTTATTTCTTCGCGAGTACCAAATCTCAACTGACTCTCCATGAAGCGCCGTTCCTTATATATTACAGCGCCTATGTCTTCTGGAACATTCCAGCGAGCTCCACACTCTCGATTGTTCGAGCGCTGACTCACCAGCGATGACTCACCGGCGATGACTCACTGGCGATGAGTCATCACTCCGATATCCAGAGCGGTAATCGCTACAATACTGATCATACGCGCTTCATGGTACTTGCTTGCTACGTCCTGGCGATCAACGCTGATCATAATATGCTCCATGTAAAACGGTACTTAATTACTGAAATTTTATAAAAAAAATTGAAAAGGCATGCATACCTTGGCCTGCCAGAGTCAACACTGGAATTCGTCCAAAATAAACTACTCATGCCTAGCGAAAATCATCTGACGAAAGAGAAAAAATTGAAAAGTCTGGGGATGAGGATTCGAAATTTGTATTTTTGCTTACAACTCTTGAACACATAGAACACCTGAATTTGCATACAATCGCTTTAGTCTAAGGCCTTCATTGCTTCTACCTAAAGTTTCTTTAAATTGACAACGGTTTCATTTCATCTAAATATTTTTTCAAACAACAAGAATTTCCGATTTAAATTTTTAATATTATTATGTGCAAACATATTTACATATTAAATTTTCATTTTGTGTTTTAGGATCATGGTTTTAAACTTACTAAATTTATATTCCCTGATTTTTGCACTATTTGACAAAATATTAGATATGGTAGGTTTTTTGAAAGCAAAAATATTCGTTCGATTTTTACATAGCAGTGGTTAAAAAATCGGATGAAGACTTTTTGAGTTCAAAGGGTAAACTCTATATTATATTTTTTAGACGACTGAACTAAAAGAATATAAAAATTTAACTAAATTACTTTATGAACAGGAATCACAATCAAACGTTTCTCAAAATGTAGCTTTACAGACAATAACATGCTGTGTGTATACGATGGGAGAAATCCGGTCAGAAAACCTTATAGCAGATTTGGCATATCAAATTTCTACTACCACATTTCCTAAAATAGCCCAAATGTTTAATGATGTTTACGTATCGGAAACAAGCTTTCTTTCTTATAATAATGATACTTTTACGACGGATTTTTATTCTAGTACTGAAGCTTACGAGAATTTTTCTATGAATTATAATATATCAGACTTTTCATCCAATAACTTAACTGATTCTTTTGATAATTTTACTGATAGTCTTATGGATTACCTAACATATATTCTTACTCCTTTCTTAAGTGATGTTAATGGCTTATTTAACAATACATTTTTTAACGATACTTATAACGTATCTAAAATTAATGACACGGATATATTATCTGATTTTAATATGTTTAAAACTACCATACTCCCAATAAACAATACCTCAGATTATTTCGATGAGAGGTTTGATACCGAATTAACCACAATTTTTAACGAAGTAATATCCACAATTGAAACTTTTAAAGATAATGTAACCAAATATGCAGTATCTGATACATTTAATTCATCAACATCAACTTCAATAACAATATTAACCACCACAACACAAATACCAGAAACAAGTATGAATTATACTGCAAGAGCTAGGTTAAGACTATTGTGCTGGGAAACTATGTTTGGACAAGAGCTATTAAAACTTACCGTTATGGACTTGCTACTTACAGTGCTATCTACACTATCTATGGATTTTTTTCGAGGAATATTTGTTAGAGTGATGAACCGCTGTTGGTGTTGGGATTTAGAAAAGAAATTCCCTCAATATGGAGATTTTAAAGTAGCCGAAAATATTCTCCACCTTGTAAACAACCAGGGAATGGTATGGATGGGGATGTTTTTTTCGCCAGGCTTGGTGGTATTAAACATTATAAAATTGTACCTTATGATGTATTTTAGAGCGTGGGCAGTACTTACTTGCAACGTTCCTCATGAAGTTATTTTTCGTGCATCAAGATCAAATAACTTTTACTACGCACTTTTATTAATGATGCTGTTTTTATGCGTTCTTCCTGTCGGATATGCCATTGTGTGGATTGAACCGTCTTGGCATTGTGGACCCTTTTCAGCTTACTATAGAATTTTTCATATCTTTACAAATACAATTAAGAATAAAATGCCTCCACCCGTACAAGCAGCATTGGACTACATTGCATCCCCTGGAATTGTTATTCCATTATTAGTTCTTTTAATTCTTGTAATTTATTACTTAATTTCTTTAACTGGTGCTTTAAGAGAAGCCAACATTGATTTAAAGGTAAATTTAACCTTTTAGATTGCAGGATATACTTTTTATATTTTATAGGTCCAATTAAAAAGGGAAAGAACAGAAGAAAGAAGAAAAATGTTTCAAATGGCAGACCGTCGTAGAAGGGGTGGCTCTAGTGGATCAAATGAATTAAGTAATACGCCATTTAATAAATGGAAAAAGCTGTTGGGTACCATGCCAAGTGGTAAAAGCTTTGATGAAACCCCAAAACAAGAATCCGAAGACAATCAAATTATTAAAGAAGAAAGGAATGAGAACAAAAATAAAGGTAAACTATAAGCAATTTATTTTATAATAACGGCTATTTTTTTCTATTTATTTTTAGATTTCTTTGCAAAGTTTATTAAAAGAGCTTTGGGAAAATCGTCTACCTCTGATGAAGACCAAAATATTGAAGACGAAACAGATACCGAGCCTCATGAATCTCTTCCAGATGACTGTAATAAGGAAATAAAAAAAAATAAATCACCTTTATCCTCTGGTAGTGCTGAATTTTCTATGTTAGTTCATAAAGCTCTATCCTTTAAAAAATCGGATTCCTTTCAAAGTCCCTCTGACACAAATGGTGATAAGCAGGTGAAAATTCAAGAAACAAGAGCATCTACAGTTTTAAAGAGAAAAGAAGTAGATGCAAAGAAAATTCCATTTAGACATATTATTGAAGAAAAAACCGTCACTACCCGACAAGATTCTAATTCTTCCATTTGGTCTGATAATATACCGGTGATAAAAATAAGCAAAACTGAAAGTTCTGAAAATATTTTAGATGAGACAATTACAACAGCAAAGTCCAATGGTAGTAAAGAGGGTCCTTTAAAAAAAAACAAAGCACCGATTGTAGGTGCAAAACCAGAAAATGAAACCAAATTTAAACCAAAGATTAAATGCGCCCTAACAAAACAATCAACAGAAATTGATGAAGATGTAATTTGTCACTTTGGAAAAGATTTGGAGAAAAAAATTATTCAAGAGGGCATTATACAAGCTGTAGCTAGGGAGGAATTGAAGAGTTCTGCAGAATTACCATCCACATCCAAAGATGAAGTTATGAAAGAAATTACAGATTTTAATATAACCGAAGACTTGACATCTGAAAGTACTGAATTTAAGGAAAACAGTGATGATACTGTTTTAAATTCAACTTATGTTTTGAAAAATGAAGATAATATTTCTGAAGTTACGGAGACCAAATCTATAGATGGAAATTCTTTTACGGAATTAAGTTCCGAATATAATGATAATAATTTAACAAAATAGTATAGATATATGCTTACAAAATTTAGAAATGCTTCTCTAGTTAAAAAAATTAATTAATTAATCGTTTTACTATATCTACAATGTTTCATCTTATTCTGAAACACTTTATAGCAGTATATGTAAAAAATAAAATTATATCAATAAATGATTTATTTAAAATTCTTAATTATTTTAGTATGGGTTAGTTACAAGTGGCCTTAAACAGCTACTTTTTCTTTTTAATTTAGTCCCAACATATGCTGTAAGCGTAGATATATTGTTTTATGGAACAAAATATTCCTTAAAGTATGCGGAAATAAAAGTAGTAAGAAAACTCTTATAAGAGTTGAGTTTTACTGAATTTTATAATTTTAATTTTAAGAGTTTCCTCGTCGAGTTTATAAAAATTTCATATATACATATATATACATACAATAACAATTTTATTACTGATGATCATGCAGGACTCCTAAATTAGGAGCATTAAAATATCTACAAAAAATAGTTAACTCAAGTCAAGATTCTTTCTTCTATCCGTACTTTATATGATTCCCTACAATTCTTTAAAATTTAAAAAGTTATATGATCATAAAATATTATTTTTTAAAAAACATGGCCTCAAATATGTTTTATAAATGAACTACAAATTTGTCATCAAGTTTTTGATGTGTTCGACACCAATTTTGCCACGTAATAAAATACTTAAATTGAGGATCATTGGTAATGTAGCTAGGTAATAATTAAACTAAAAAATAAACTGTCATAAAGATATTCCCCTTAAAAATCTTATTTAATTATTTATTTATTTTTTATTTGTTTAAAAAAAATACAAAGAATGCAAATAAAACCGATATAGAGCCAAAATTGGATAATTTTAAAAATTTATTTATTTGTTTTATTTATCAACTCAAAAAAATATTTATAACAGAATAAAATCGTTTTTATTGCCAAAATTGGACCATTTTTAAAATTCATGAAATTTTTTTGTCTGATTATCTTTATCTATCTTGTTTATTGCGTTAAATTTTGAACGCAATCAAAATTTGAATATGGCGCTGAAATCAACCGCGCATGTCAAAATTTATATTTACAATCAATTTACTCCTTATAAATTCTGAGTAGCAATGAATTGAAACATGTATTTATACAAGTTTTAAATAAAACAACAATGACACTGTTTAAAATAATGTCAAAAAAATATTTAAAAAAACGTTCTTGCACGAGTCACTACTAAAATAAATGTAAAAAAAATTGCTAGCATGATTTTTTTTAATAAATATTAGATTATCAATAAATTTTGTTCAAATCAGAGGGGGAAGATAAAAATCGCTCATACAGTCGAGTAAAGTGCGGTGCGAAACAGTGCTACTAGTTTGGTTTACTACATACCTGTACAGGTGAAATCAGGGTACCTGTTCTCCAAAGGTTTAATAGAAACATTAAATAATTCCTTAAAAGGCAACTCTCAACGGGTGAACACATAAATAAAGTGATAGGGGACAGGACAAGGAATCACCTATTTAAAGAAAAAACGAGTCTAACCAAGAGTGGAAGGGGCCATCATCTGCTGAATTGATAAGCAAAGACCGGATTTTAGGCCCTTAAAAATTGGAAATTAGGACACATAAATAGGCAATAAAAACCTACATTTTAGGCCGTTTTATGCCGAAAGTGCCTAAAATAGGCGATATCAAATAAAAACAACACGATTAAACACAACATTTATTCAGGTCCTATCAATAAAAATAAAACAAAACATATAAAAAGTTCTGCTTGTTGAGAAAATGAATTCACGATAAAAAAATTTAAGATCAGATGTACAGGGTGTTCATAAATTAGGAAAATATGAAAATGCTTCAAGAGAAGTACCATTATTTATTATTTTTAACAAAAATTTTATAAAACAAAGTTGTTTATAAACAAGCATAAAGACTAAATACAAATTTTAAAATAAAAATTCTAATATTATAAAATTAAACAAAGTTGTTTATAAACTAAAATAAAATTAAACAAAGTTGTTCATAAACTAGCAAAATATGAAAATGCTTCAAGACAGAAGTACCATTATTTATTATTTTTAACAAAAATTTTATAAAGCAAAGTTGTTTATAAACTAACATAAAGACTAAATACAAATTTCGAAATAAAAATTCGAATATTTTAAAATTAAACAAAGTTGTTTATAAACCAAAATAAAATTAAACAATGTTGTTTATAAACTAGCAAAATATGAAAATTCTTCAAGAGAGAAGTACCATTATTTATTATTTTTAACAAAAAATTTATAAAACAAAGTTGTTTTTAAACAAGCATACAGACTAAATACAAATTTTAAAATGAAAATTAGAATATTTTAAAATTAAACAAAAGTACGATACGTTGATTCCAACGGTTGTCAAAGTTGGCTGTAGCCATCTATTGACTTTATAGAAAAACTATTTACCACCTGTAAATTGTGGAGAGTTATTTAATTATGCCATAGATGGCGACAAATTATATTACTAAAAACTGTTAAAAAGTCTGAAATTACCATATATGTAATACATATATGGAAATTACAGTAAAACCTATGAAAACAAAGTAAATAATAATTTTCAACCATTATTTTACAAACTTAATATTATCCATAATTCTTTATAATAAATATTTAAATAGCAAAAACACAATTACTGTTTTATTAGGTTTTTACTAGTCAAGGGCGTCTAGGCGAAATAAGAGCATGAATGCAAGGTCTAATTAAAAATAATTTACTTTTCCGCAATAAAAAAATATATTTTTTACTGAAAAATTAAAAAAGCCTATTTTAGGCTCATAAAAATGTCCTTTTAGGACAATAAATCAAAATTTCCCCATTTTAGGCTTTTAGAGAAAAACAAAGTGGTGTCAAACGCTTTATTTTTTTAAGTTTAGGATTAATTTTAAGGTCCCAAAGAAATGCCTAAAATAAAAACAAAAAAGGCATTTTGCCTAAAATCCGGTCCTTGTTGATAAGTATCAATGCATGAGCTAATACGCAAATCTATAACAAAAACCTGGCAATAACACTATAGGGAGGTGAAAATATCACAGCTAAACTCTCGGACACGTAAACTTAATTTTTGGTCGTAGATCACAAATCCATGCTTGGTTTTGCTGTATCAGGTCAAAATTCAAAGATATTGGAAACACCCTGTATAAATTTAAACACCCTGTATACATTTAAAAAAATCAATTTGGCTGGACTCGCAAATTAAAAAAAACAAATTCTTGCGAAATTTGAAGGTAATTGATCAAAAGGAACACGTGTCCCTGGGGGTTTTTCATAGAAAAGTTATGAAATTCAAAATGTTTTTTTGCTAATTTTTTTCATTGAGTATAATTGAATATATTAAATTACTTACAATAAAAAACATAAGAATGTTGACTCAAGAGGTGAAATATATTATTTTACAAATTATAATACTTATACACTGAGAAAAGAGATTTGTAATTATAACAAAATTGATTTGTTTGAGGGTGGTTTTTTTACAGTAAAACTGGTGTAGTTCCTTTTAATAAGAAAAAATTATTGTAAGGATATCAATAAAGTTGGTTCAATTAAATAGTTTTTTTGAATGTATTTGGTTAATACTATCAAATTATTTTGTTCGCATTTTTAGATAGTAATAATAAATAAATCCTTACAAAAGTTTAAATTTACTTGGATTATTGTTAAAAATTTCAAAATATTACAGTAAATTTGTTTATTATTTACCAACACATTTTATTTGTTTACTGTTACAAGCTATAAATTAACTTAAACTAAGAATGTGTTATTCTTAATTATCTACTGTTACAATATAAATTCATTTGGTAACTATAACCAAATGCATAATTTCAGGAATCAAGTCTTCGCTACAGCGAAACTGAATTCAATAATAATAACATAACATATTCTTAAAACAAAGAAATTGCATTTCGGCTTTCGTCTACGCCAACGCCATATTGCATTTGTTTGCCACGTTTGATCTTAACTCGATGCAGTGTGTTTCCTATGCCTAAAATTAAGTGTGAGTACATATATTCATAGAAAAAGAATATATCACAGACAAAATAGACTTGCCTTAGGGAGAAAATGATACGGCCGGGCGGGTGCCTGAACGGGTGCCTGTTTTCCAGTTCGCATCATTCATATTTAAGCAGTTGACCTGTGAGGATATATTATTTATGTAAAATTCTTTGAACATTATGGGTAAATGTGTTGTCAAAGTGTGTCCTAGTCGTAGTGAAACTAGTTCCAGCCAATTCCAACCAATTTCCTTTTTCCAATAAGTAGTAATTATGAGATAAATTTTAAGCGATTTTATTAATTTTGCATGTCAATACCTTGCGTGTGCACACAGATGTTGTGTTGTTCTCTCCTTTGCACAGAGCCGTACGTCGTTCATTCTGGAGCGTAAAACTAAAGTCAAGTCAAATCCAAGACGGACTAAAACAAAAAACGCCAGACGCGTGATCAGTCGTTTGCAGGTGGATAGAACGGTTCTTATTGGGCGATTCTGAGTTGTGAAGCGTGCCGAAAATTCTTGCCAGGGCCGCATTATGTCCATTGCGGTTATTAATAGCGTATTGTTTGATTACTTCCTTGTTTTCGCGGCTTTCATCTTTGTGGTTATTTTTGTTATTGTTTTATTATTAATACTTGTTATATAAGGTTATTTGTTGTTATTGTTGTTGTTATTGCTATTATTGTTTTGGTTAGTTGGTTTTTATTGTTATTATTATTATTCAATTAAGTGCGATGTCTAGCACAGACGAAGCTGAACATTTTGAGGACTAAAAGAAATCCCTTAAGTGTGGAAATAAAAGAGGTTATTATAAATGTTTTCATTAAACTTTAATTATTTAAGTTTAAAACAATAAATTTAAAATAATTTTCAAAAATTTCGTGAAGTTAATTTAAAAAATATAATTTTTGTACAAAATTTAAAAAGTTTACATTAAAGTTTAAAAAAATAAATTTAAAATAATATTGAAATTATTTCCCAAAATTTTGTTAATTT